AAAACAGATCTATTGGTTCTTTTGGCAGTCCATGGCACTTTCAGTATTCTCCTCCAACACCACAACTCAAAGCATTCAATTCTTCTACGATCTCCTTTATTCACTGTCCAGCTTTCGCATCCATATGAGGTTATTGAAAATACAATGGCCTGGGTCAGGCGCACCTTAGTACTCAAACTGACATCTCTGCTCTTCAATACTTTAAAAAGTTCCTGTGCAGCAGATTTGCCCAATACAATACGTCATCTGATCGTCTGATCTCTTGACTGCTGCTTCCGCGAGTGTTGATAGTTGATCCAAGAAGAATGAAGTCCTTGACAACCTCAATCTCTTCTCCATTGATAAGAATGCTGTTTATTGGTCCAGTGGTGAGGATTTTTGTTTTCTTTATATTGAGTTGTAATCCATACGTAAGGCTGTGCTCTTTGATCTTCATCAGTAAATATTTTAAGTCCTCTTCACTTTCAGGAAGCAAGGTTGTATCATCTGCATATCTCAGGTTGTTAATAAGTCTTCCTCCAATCCTGACTCCACGTTTTCCTTCATAGAACCCAGCTTCTCGTATTATTTGCTCAACATACATATTGAACAAGAATGGTGAAAGAACACAACCCTGTCGCACACCTTTCCCAATTTTAAAACATTCTGTGTTCCCATGCTCTGTTCGAACAACTGCCTCTTGGTCCAGGTACAGATTTCTCAGAAGTACAATTAAGTGTTTTAGAATACAATTCTTCATAGTATTCTGTTATTATCTTTTTCATATCTATTGGATCTATTGTGACATCACTCATATTATTTCTTAGTAGTGTTATTTTCATCTTCTCCTTCTTTACTTTTCTTAGGTTTACCAACTATTTGTTGGTTTAATTAATGCTTCCAAAGACTCAACTTCTTGTCTTGTTGACTCATTGTTTTTCTGTTTTCTATTTCATTTATTTGGGCTCTAACATGGCAGTTTGAAACTACCAGCCATTCCATGGGAGAAAGATAAGACTTTCTGCTCCCATAAAGATTTACAGCCTTGGAACCCCTGTGCAGGGTCACTATGAGTCGGAACTGACTCCACGGTACTTAACAACAACAACCTTTATTTATTTATTTTGACTTACTTTGCTGCTCTTTTTCTAATGGTTGGAAAGGTTGGGTTAAAGTGTTAATTTTGGATCATTATTCTTTTTTGGATTTTTGCATTTATTTCTATAAACTGCTCTCTGAACACTACTTTGGCTGTGTCCCAAAGGTTTTGGTCAGTTGTATTTTTGTTCAAGAGGAATGATGTGTCATTCATAATCAGAAAGAACATTTCTAGATCTACCCTGAAGTATGATGTTGTCTGTCATAGGATGATAATATCTCTATTCCTATAAGAAAGGCCAGTTAATGGAACTTTTAAAATTTACACACCAAACAATAACACCAATGCTGAAGATATTGAAAAATTCTACCAATCTCTTCAGTCTGAAATTGGTAAACATGAAATCAAGGTGTGAAAATTGGAATATGAAAGTTGAAAAGAAAAAGGAAGGATCTGTAGTTGGAAAATATGGCCTAGGTAATAAAAACTATGCTGGAGATTTTATGATACAATTTTTCAAGACCAATGACTTATTCATTGCAAGTACTTTTTCAATAACATAAACAGCAACTATACTTGTGTACCTTACCAGATGTAATACACAGGAATAAAATTGAATACATCTGTAGAAAGAGAAGAGGGAGAAACTCAATATCATTAGCCAAAAGAAGGCCAAATACCCATATACAAGTTCAGGTTGCAGCTAAAGAAAATTAAAATAAGACCATTAATTATTCATATCAAAGTCGAGGCTGAAACTGAAGAAAATTAAAACAAAATCATGAGAGCCAAAATATAACCTTGAAAATATTCTACCTGAACTTAGAGACCTTCTGAAGAACAGATTTGATGCACTAAACACTATTGAACAAAGACCAGAAGAGTCTTCATGGGATGTCATCTAAAACATCATACAGGAAAAAAAGTCATTAACAATGAATGAAAAAACCGAATTGAATGATAGCAGAAGAGATTCTGAAACTTGTTGTTGAGCTTAGAGAAGAAAAATTAAATAAATGAGGAAGTAAAAGAGCAAAACAGAAAATTTCAAAAGGCAACTTTAGAAGACAAAATAATGTATTATAATGAAATGCAAAAAGACTGGCGTTAGAAAACCAAAAGGAAAGAATACACAGTATCTCTCAAGCTGAAAGATCTGAAGAAAAATTTAAACCTTCACTTAGAATATTGAAGGACTCCTGATGTGGGATCAGTATGGGGATGCAAACCACAATGTCAGCAGTTCAACCCACCCCAGCTGCACCTCAGAAACCCTATACAGGGTCGTTATGAGTCTGAACCAACTCAATGGTACTTAGCAACAACAACATGGGCAAAATGCCAAAAACATCAATATAAGATAGAAGGAATGCACAGAGTCACTGTACTAAAAAGAAATGGTCCATGTTCAACCCATTTCAAGATGTAGCAGCAGTCAAGAATTCAAGTAACATATGGCATTAGGCAAATTTGCTGCACAAAACTTCTGTAAAATGTTCAAGAGAAAAGACATCAGTTTTAGGACTAAGGTGTGCCTGACTTAAGTCGTTGTATTCTTAATAGCTTCATATGCATGTGAAAGTTGGACAATGAATGTGAAAGACTGTAGAAGAATTGATGCATTTGATTTGCAGTATTTTAGAAGAAATTATGAGTACCATGGATGTGATAGAAGAACAAATTAATCTGTATTGTACAACCAGAATGCTCCTTAGAAGCCATAATGGCCAGACTTCATCTTTCATGCTTCAGTCATATTATCAGGAGGGACCACTCCCTAGAGAAGGGCATCATACTTGCTAAAGTGGAGGGTCAGCAAAAAAGAGGAGGACCCCCAACAATATGGATTAGCACAGTGGCAGCAGCAATGGTATCAAGCTTGACAATGATTGTGAGGCCAGCGCAGGAACAGGCAGTGTGTCCTTCTGTTGTGCATAAGATTGCTATGAATTGGAATCAATTGAAGGCATCTAACAACAACAGCAGCAGCATATGATGAAGAGCCAAGGGTACTTGAAGGAAGAACTCCAAGCTGCTCTTAAGGCATTGACGAAAAACAAGGATCCAGTAATTGACAGAATATAAATTGAAATCTTTCAACAAAGTGATGCAGCACTGGAGGCACTCACTTGTCTATGCCAAGAAATTATGCATATAGCCAACTGTTTGGGCCAGATCCGTACGTATGCCTATTGCAAAGAAAAGAGCCCCACAGAAAGTGGAAATAATTGAATAATATCATTAATATTACACTCAATTAAAATTTTGATGAAGGTAATTTGAAAACTGATTGCAATCATAGATCGACAGGGAGCTGCCAGAAATTCAAACGGGATTCAAAACAGAACGTGGAACAAGGGATATCATTGCTAATGTCAGAGAGATATTGTCTGAGAGTAGAGAGCATCATAAAGATGTTACTGTGCTTTACTGACTAAGCAGAGGTTTTTGATTGTGTGGATCTGACAATCTATGGATATTCCACAAGAATAAGTATATTCAACATATAGATTCAATAACTGTGGAGATAGGATACAATCCTGGTGCACACCTTTCCTAATTTTAAAACATTCATAATCCCCCTGTTCTGTTCTAACAACTGCCCCTTGGTCTGTGTACAGTTTCCTCATCTTCAAAAGTAAGTGTTCTAGAATACTTTTTCATTTTAACATTGTTTTAGCATTCCTACTCAAGAAATTAATCGATGTATTGCATTAGGTAAATCTGCTGCACAAGACCATTTTAAAATGTTGAAGAGCAAAGATGTCATCTTGAGGACTAAGGTACACCTGACACAAGCCATTATATTTTTAATAACCTCATATGCATGCAAAAGTTGGACAGTGATTAAGGAAGATCATAGAAGAATTGATGTATTTGAGTTATGGTGTTGGAGGAGAATATTGAAATTACCAAGGGCTGCAAAAAGAATAAGCAGATCTGTGTTGGAAGAAATGCAGTCAGAGTACTCCTTGGAGGTCACGATGGCCATACTTCATCTCTCATACTTTGGACATATTGTCAGGAGGGACTAGTCACCGGAGAAAGATATCATGTTTAGTAAGGTGTGGGATCAGAGAAAAAGAGGAAGACCCCCAGTGAGATGGATTGGCAAAGTGGCAGCATCAATGGGCTCAAGTATGGCAACAATTGTGAGGTTGGCCCAAGACTAGGCAGTGTTTTGTTCTGTTGTGTATAAGGTTGCTATGAGTCAGTACTGACTCAGTGACACCTAACAACAACAATGACTCTAAGTGTGGCTCACAGACCAGTGAGCATATGTAAACTGTATTTTACTGTCGTGAAACCTGTGAAAGTAAAACTTGAAGGGACTGCCTTTTTATCTGGGTCTCACAAGTTTTCCATCTCTGACAGGGTGGTATCTTGTCACTTGTTTTAGTAGAAGTTATTTGAGTTTTCCCTTCTAACACATTTCTAACTTGTGCATATCCCAGCTTTTGTAGGTTTTACAGTAATACTTTGTGAGACAAGTACAAAAATGGAATGTAGGTGTCGTAAAACCTTTGGAAAAAATTAACAGGACAATTTTATGTATGTTGAATCTAGTAATAAAATAATGGCTACATGTAGTTTTCTTATTTTATTCACTTATTTTTTTTTTAGTAATTAATATTTTTTTTAATTATTGGTCTGTGAATTACAGGATATAGCAAAAAATAATAAAAATAGTATCTACAATAGAATCAACAACAACAACTGATATTTCTTCTCAATTTATTTGTGAAGCAATTCCTGATGAAATCAGAAACCCTAGTCGTACAGCTTAATCCCAAGAAATTACCTATCAGAGAAGACTGGGGCCACCCAGAGATTGGGGATCCTGGAGTTTATAGAGAAGGGGCTACTGTATTCATGATATAGAGTCTTCCTCTAAGTCACTTAACTAACATTGTGCAGATAATCAGGGCTCCATAGATTTAAGTGTGAAATAAGGATAGAGTGACCCAAAGAAGTTCATCTGGGTGAAGGAGTGAATGTGGGTACCCTCAGTCAAGTTGTAGAAAGAAAGGTCACTATCTTCATAATCCATGAAAATCACAATCTTTTGTGGTGGCTTTTCTTTGGGGCAAATTTGAAGTGACGTTTTTTGGGACTTGGCTTTGGGATCACGAATGAGAGTCCAGTAATCATCTCCCTTCTTCTCTAAAACAATGAATTTTCTTAGTGATTCATCTTTGTATGACTCATAAATGCCAAGACTCCACTCATCATTGACCCCAACGTCCACTTCCCAATAATATCTCCCTGCAATTAAGCTTCCCTGATTAAGTGTGATAAGATTGACATCTCCTTCCTTATTACTAAGAGATATATCCTGTGTTTCCTCACTACAATTCTCTTTTCTCTCTGGGTCTGAATTGTTCAGATGAAGATTTTCTTGTTTGAGAGTCACCTGGGCTGGAAGACAAGAAAAAAAAAAAAAAAAGGAAAGGATCACCACTCTGTATATTTCAGAAAGCTGTTGTACAGAAGAAACAGAGAAATGGGGTGAATGCAGAATGAGTGGTAAAAGAATCCCTCTCTTCAGCGTGTGTGTACTTATCTTGCCTAATCTATGCTACTTTCAATGTATTAGTAGGGTAGAGCATGAATCAAGATTTTTAGTGTTTCCTTGAGAATAATGTTCTTTCCACTTTGTTCTACATATTATATCCATCCATGTTCCTCAATTAGTAACACATCCTAAATGGGCTGAACTATATTTAAAAACAGCAGTTGTGTTACTCTAATAATTTTGAGCAATTTTTTTATAAGTAGGAAAATAGCTGTCATATAACTGAGGATCTATATTCATTTCTATTTTCAGAAACAAGTGGACCCCATAGATAGGAAAGGTGGGTCAGTATGTGAAGGTGGGAGTACAAGGAGACTAGCTAAGCCTAGGAGCAACTTCAGTTCAGGCTGCCACTTAGTAATTTTTTCTCTTCTCCTTTTACTGAAATAGACCTGCCTCTGTCTTTTCAACTCAGAGATGGTATTAGAAAAGTAAACTAGAGTATCATAAGACAGTGTGGAGGGAAGTCACAAATATAAACACAGAACCACTCACCAAGCTTGAAATGTTCCTTCCTCCAGTCTGAAAAAGAGTGATATACATTGAGACTGGATTGAAAACACATCCAAGGAAAGAAAAGGAGATAAGAGATTTCCTGCCTTGCCTCTTCACTTCCTCTGTCTAGCTCTCCTCACTTTTTCTCCCAAGTCCCTCAAATTCTGGTGGTGTCCATGACCCTGAAACCAGAAGAACTAGATGGTGCCTGGCTACTACTAATGACCACTCTGAAAGAGAACATTAGAAGGTCCTGGATAAAATGGGAGACAAATGTAAAACAAAATTCAAAATTATAAAATGACTAGGTTTACTGGTTAGATAGAGACTGGTGGAACCCAAAGGACTATAGTTGTAAATCATGCTTTAGGCGTGGAACCAAATTCACACCGTGGTTCAATTTTCAGATGAACAGGTCTACAAGGAAAACAATAACACTAGGGCAGTGCACACGTGGCTGTGATGTGTTGTGGAGTCAGTTCTGACTCATAGCAACCCTGTACAAGGTTTCCGGGGCTATAAATCTTTACAGGAGCAGAAAGCCTCATCTTTCTCCTGTGGGACAGCTGATAGTTTCGAACTGCTAATCTTAAGGTTCGCAGCCCAATTAGTAACCACCACACTACCAGAGCAGTGTACACATCTTAGAATAATCCATCATAAGATCAAAAGGGCAAAATTTACCCAAGGATAAAGTTCAGAAAATTAGAAAAGCAGGAAGATTGGAAAAAGGAAACACAGGGAGAAAGTGAGATGAGTGATGTTACATTATGGGGGTTGCAATCAATGACATGAAACAATTTGTGTATGAATTGGTGAGTGGACGATTAAAAGTTGTTGCTTTTTTCCTTTTAATTCTGGGAGTGTCTAGGGACTAGAGAATAAATTGTATTGTTTCTATGCTCTGTCTCAAATTAGCTTGAAACAGGAGGAATGAACTACTCCAGTATGTGCCATATATGGAGAAGACCCAGTACTATTCAGAACCTGGTGGTCTTCATGGCTGAGGATGAGGGACTCCTTGAGTGGTACAAACGCTTAACACTCTCAGCTGCTAACTGAAAGGTTGAAGACTCTGGTCCATCTAGAGATACTTTGAAAGAAAGACTGATGATGTACTTCTTAAAAATCTACTTCAATGAAAAATGATCTACTGCAATGGAGAATCCTTTGGAAGACGTTTCTATTCTGACACATGTGGAGTCTTCATGAGTCATAGTTGATTTAAAGAAAACTTCTGAGGAATAAATTTATTACTGTTCTTTCAATACATTTTATTTTGTACTTTTTTCAGACTATGTTTTCCTCATAGTAGGACTTAGCCTTATGACAAAGGTCATTAAACTGTTATTTTGACCTCTGTAATTAGAAATATTTATCGTTTTCTTCTGAGTCAGATCCTTTATGTGGACTAGAACTGCATCTGCTTCTCTGTCTGTGGCCACTTCTCTTAATTGAACTGTGATTAGTTAGATATCGGATAGTCTTCCAGTTTGGGGGCAATAGGCAGATAAGGACATATTCATAATTCTTGACTGAAACAATGTTGTGATTCCTCACTGAACTGCCCCCTGTAAGAACTTCTGTCCTTCATGAAAAACTGCCCTCTTGTAAGAAGTTTAGGAATTGATATGTAGAAACTATGAATACAGGAATCAAGAAAGACATCTAAGATCATGTGTTTCAATTTCCTCATTTTATATACAAGGAGACTGAAGTCAAGAATGAGAATGTGACCAGAGTCCTCCGCTGTAGTTGGTAGAGC